CATCTTCGGATGGAGGTAATCCCTGAAGGTGGCGAAAGGGCAGTTAGCCGTATCGGCAACCTTGAATCATGGAAGGGATTAGTTTCCCAGTTAAGCGCAGGAGTCTGAGGTGGGACTCCGAAAGACGCCGATGTAGGCCTGAGAGCCAACAGTTAGGCCAAGCAGCCCCACAGAAACGCCTGTCGATGCAGATTCTTGGCTCATTTGAGTTGATTGTTTGTAGGCTTTCTGTGCATCAATTGCTGAGCAATCATGTTGGATCGCCTATCTTTTCACTACGGCCCCAGGGAGGACAGCGTTCCTACTCCAGAGGCTTTGCTTGATCGTCAACTTCTACGGAACCAGTGTCAGTAGCCGCTCCAGGAACAGGCACTACCGTGCCAGCTCCACCGAAGACAGGACTTGCGGACATCACGCCACCTAAGTCAGGAGGTCCAAGAACAGCTCCGCCTGTTGCTGATAGAAGTTACGGAACGAGGCCCAAAGGTCCACCTCAATATGTGCCACAGTGGGCAATTGCTGACCGGCTCCTCCTCCGTCCAAGACACTTCCTTCGCGCGATTGTACCAGGTTCTCAAAGTACGGACGCAGCTCAGGATCATCAGGACGCCTCAGGTACTTCAGTTCGGCGTTGGACCCGGTCAAGCATGTCAGCGGCAAAATTCGTCAATCCGGGAGTTCAAAACCAGTAGATCAAGTGGACGCCTCAGGTACTTCAGGAACCTCGACTTCACTGTTGGACCCGGACAAGCATGTCAGCTGCAAAGTTCGTCAATCCGGAAGTTCAAAACCAGTCGATCAAGTTAACTCGACAGGATCTGGTGATCGTGTGTTGAAACGTTTCTCTCCACCAGTGACGATAACCGCCACACCTACGCAGACGAAGACCTCAAGAAGTACAAGAAGCTCATCACCTCCCGTAAAGAAAATGCCCATTCCTCATTTTGCACGACCTGCTCCCGACCGTGATCATCCAGTTAGGGACAAGAAGCCCAGACATCAGGAACCGGCCCGTTCATCGGGATCAGCTGGGAGTTCAGGTGACACCTCAATGACGATTCGAGGTTCTTGTATGGATGAATCAGGCGGCTTGACGTCTTCCTCAGTAAGAGATTTTCAGGGATCGACAACTTCCTCAACCATCCATCGTGAATCGCAGGTGCTTGTACCAAGTTCAGGAACCGGACAGATTACGGCAGTTAACATCTCAGGACTGGCCGGAGGCACACAATCGGTCCGATTGAAAAGCTGGGACGAGCCCCTTCGATATCCCTTGGTGGAGGAATCCAAGGTCCGTGAGAACTTCCAACAACTCCTACAGATCTGTCGTGCTTGCAACACTCCACCCCCTCCGGAGTTCGAAGCTCGGTATTTCGCCAGCATTCTTACAGGCGCAGACATCAGGATCGGACAGCTCTTCCCCAGAGTTAGAGTACACTGGACGTTCTACTTGGCCCAACCGTGGACTCGCCTCGACCCTGAGGTGACGGATGACCAGAGAGGTGTGATTCAGTTCGCCCACGCCACCGACACAGGCGGAGTTGCAGGTATAGTTCGACACCGGTTTGTTGTTCCAGCAACCCTCGCAGATGGCAATGATGCTGTCGGACACTATAGGCAGGGTACGTTGTGGAGCGATGCAGAGTCCCTCACTTCACTGCGTGATCGTGCAGCCATGTCAGGAAAATGGAAGCAGCCTTTGATCATCTTGGGAGAATGCCTCGTCGCCGACACCCATTACACGATGAAGTCAGGGGGTGGATTGGACGCTCAAAATCGGAGTCAGGTTGCCGGAGCAGTGCGTATGAGGAAGGACAAGAAGTGGGTTTTCCATAGCAGCTTGCGCAGGATCACCGGAATCACAGTGACGGTGGTGAAACAATACACAAGTCGTCGAGATGCCGCAGGATTGCCCCAGTTCCACCTAGGACTGAATCGTACCGAGGAGCTTGCGCAACAGTTGCAAGATGGATGAATCAAGTAGCTGCGCGCCATAACATTCAATGAGGTTCTTGCAGCGGATTCGCATTGAGCTTGTGCATGTCTTGCATTACTTTTAGGTGAGACTAACCTTTTTCAGTTGATCATCTGATGACGCTTGCACATGTTTTGTGTTACTACCAGGTGAGACTAACTTATTTGCTTGCGCCTTGATTGAGCTTTAGACGACGCTGTCGAACATTCAGGTCTCTTGCATCAGCCGCATCCTCCCTCCCTTCTTCCCATACCGGACATCCAGATCGGCAGACCGCCATCACGGCAGATCACCTCGTAGGGATCGCCGCTCCTGTGACTGGGAGAGCAGGCAGTTTCGTAGGTCTCAACCTTTTCAGGAAGCTCGACGTAGATCCAGAACGCCCCCACCGAACAAGGAGAAGTTTTCGAACTTCAGGCCTCCCAAAACTTGGAAGATGACAGAAGACGAGTGGGACTCCAACAAGATCTATGGCCTCACGCTCCCCAGGATTGTCGCCAACAATCGTTGCACTCGTGAATTAGGCATTGAGGGCTTGCCCGTCTTTGATGTCCCCCTTGTGAGTGTCATCGGTCAACAACATGAGAACTGGGCCCTTCGAATGATGGCTCATGGCAGACGTGTGTCGTGGGAGAACTTCAGGTCCCGACAGGTGTTTGCCGGCATCTTACTTCGCCTGATCAGAGGCGATTTGGTTTCTCCGGATGGGCAGGATTTTGTCACGATCATGAACGCAGAACATAAGAAACGTCATCCTCAGAAAGAGTTGCATGATTGGGAAGCCAGGTATGACACCTTGAAGCATGTTGCGGAGGAGTTAGCAGTTGAGTTCAGAAAGCGTGCTCCGGTCAGGGCTAACGCCGCCTTGTTGGGTCGCCTTCAGGAGCTTGAGATCGAGAACGCAGCACTTAAAAGGCCATCCTCTACATCCACACCCCCAGGCAGGAAAGCCACTCTGAAATCGAGTGCCTCCGTACCCACCTCCTCGGACAAGTCAGGGAAGGGCTCGACGAAACGCAGACTTCCTTTTCATGAAGCTCCAGCAGGACCGGAACATGATCCTCTTCATGGCCTGATGGACGAGGAGGAGGGCAACCCAGACGACGTACCTACGGAGCCCATGACACCACCTTTGGAGGACCAAACCTTTGGCGACGAGGACGCAGAAGACCCTAACAGCACGTATGCCAGGTTCCTTTGCTCATCGGAAAGCCAACGTTTCCTTGAGAGTTGTTCGATCACCAAATTCAACATCACCAGCGTGAACCAATGGTTGGCAGGCACCAGGTTGGGAAAGTCCAAGAAGAAAGCGCTTGATCTTGCCTTGTCAGAGTTCACAGCGGCTGCAGGAAAGTTGGATGCCGGATCGAAGAGACCTGTTGATTCCACTGCGGTTGAATGGGGTTTGAGTGTAACCTTGGCTGCCAAGTTGAACAAGGCATGCTTGACCAGATTGATCGCAGGAGCTCATTTACTATCACAGGAGTGACTATCGGATTCGTCCGGTCGTCACAGGTGGCGGTTTCAGTCCTTTCTGAGACAATTCTTCGCATGGTTTGCACTAGTTTTGCCATTGATGTACAAAGTGCTGCCATTTTTTGCCATTGATCGTTTTCTCTGGGTCAGGGCTTGCGTGCTAAGACATGTGACGCTCACACCAGGCAGATTCATCCGTCAACAGCCCAACCTTTTCCATCGCTTGAGCGAGCTTTTAACACAGTTCCAGATGGACACAGACTACACTTGGGAGTGGCATGATATGAAAGGTGTGGTGTACGTGCGTGTGGGCCTCACCCCATCCTTGAAGTCCGCGGAGATCTACATCGGTTCCACCAGTTCTACTGTTTCAGCTAGGGAAGCCAGCAGACGCAGGAAGTACATCCAGCGATGCCGTAACAAACTGGCCTTTTACGAACTAGCTATCAAAGTTTGGCATCGTAAGAGAAGTTTCTATCAGGGGGTGACCTTAGTTCTCAGTCAGGTTGCGGAGCTGCCGGATCGTCTGGCTACTGAGACAGCTTTGATTAGGTCTTTTCGTCCTGACCTCAATCATCCGTTTGTCTTGCAGACCCTCAATCGCCTCCGACTGCATGAAAACAGGTTTGTGCTACCGAAACCAGGTACCGGACAGCGGTTTGTGCAACGGACACAACGATTCAGAAAGAACCATCTACGGATGGATTTTGACTATTTTCTCTCGGATCGGAAGCTGTTCACCTCGTTGTACCGCTTGGGCAGCAACACCATGCACAAATTCCTGGAGGCGAGACTCTTGCGTAGTTGATGGATTTCCCTTCCCCAGCTGTACTTGCGACAGAGACTTTGTAACTCACTAGATGAACCATGGCGGACTCGGGCTATGAAACAGCTGAGATAGGTCTTGGATTTTCGAAAAGGAGCAGTTCCACCGTCTAATGTCCCTCTTCGACTCCCTCCATTAGCATGTGACCTCCAGCGAGCAGTTCGAGATCAGATCAGGAAGATCCGACAAGGGGCTAGGTGCAATTTTCCCCCACTTCACCTTCCCTCTGACAGGTTCATTGAGATCAAAGGCTTACCTTGGTCTGTCATCGTCTTCAACTTCAGGGCTTCTCTCAAGACTTGGACACCAGGTCGACCTCATGCTTGCGCACGCAGGTCTTTTCAGGCTCACACCAAGGCGTTGAGCCCGACGGGTCATGTGTTCTGTCATGTCCGGGAAGTTCTTCCAGGTCATGTTTTGGCCGACCTAAACCTCAAGGACACGTCTTATCTGCCGAATCAACGGTGGAAAGAGTGCGCCGAGAGAGAGGTTCGGGCATGGACTCACAGATGGCGACTACCTTCGGAAGTGAACATGCTATGGGGCGAGTGGATCGCGCTCCAGGAACATGACACCCTCCTAGGCATGGATCGGACCTCCACACTGGGACAAGTTGAACCAGGTCTACAACGCTTGCAAGGCCTTGTCCTTACTCCTGCAGATCATCTCCCACACACAGCACATGTGGCCTGTCAGTTTGCGTTTGACGCGTTGTTGGACAAGACCTTCCTGGACAGGAGTGTTTTTCAGCAATGTAAGGTCGGCATGCAGAGCATTTTGATCAATCTGCGCCTTGAGTTTCAGGGGAAGAAAACCTTTCAGCACAGGTACCAATGGGCAGTCAATTGGACAAAGCTTTTGCCTGTGGCTCGTGTTCTCCCCAAACCCTCCAAGTCCTTCACTAAGGCACGGCCGATTATCGCGCGTGACAGGTGCTGGCATAGTCGACTCACCATTTTCTTGGCAAGAGCTCTATACCAGGTGATGACGACGAGCTTCCCACCCAACAGTACGTTCAATATCGATTCCACCTTGTTGGCCATGCGTCGCATGTGGTTCATGACGCAAAACTCGGAGGAGCCCACCGCACTTGTTCAACAGGACCTCATCGGATTCTTCAACTCAGTTCCACGCAGCAGGATCTTGACTTCTCTGAAGTTTGTGTTGCGGCAGTTGTTGGAGAACAGTGGTTCCTCCTGGGAGCAACAAACTCTGCAGGTGACCTCACGTCAGAATGACAAATCCTTCAGGATCTTCCGTGGTTCCAAACGGTTCGCCAGCAGACAGACCAAGACTCTTTGGATTCAGGACCTTCCTGGACTGGTGGAGTTTCTTTTGGGCTCTAGCTACTTCACATGTGGGTCACATGCCTTTCGTCAAATTCAAGGAGCGGCCATGGGATCGGCGTTCGCACCGGTGTTATGCACCATGGTAGCTAATACCACGCAGTTCATCATGCTCAAACATTTTCGAGAGGCTTTTCGTTCCGCTGGACTTCTTTCAGGATTTCGGTACGCGGACAACCGAGCATTCTTGCTGTCCACATTGAACCCAGTCATTAATGACTGGAGACGACTGTTGTTGAATCTAGAGTTCTATGGCCTCCCCATTCTGCTGGAGAACGGTGAGGAATTGCTAGGCGCCACATGCTCTACACAGCAGGGAGCCATCACGGCCCGTCAGCGTCTGGATGCTACTCTGCTACGCACACTACAGTCAGTAGGCAGCAGGAAGTTCGTTCTGTCAGGCCTGGGCCTCAGGTTGTGAACAGAGCATTTCGTCAACGCAAGGCTGTAGGCAAGCCGCTAATTTACACAAGAGCAGGTTGTGAATAATCTGATCTGGCTTGCGATCGAACGACATGGAGACACTTTCCAATCATGATTCGGACTTGTCAGGTACACTTGGCTCTACCCAGGTCTATCGGTCCCGCGTCGGTTTGCCATGGGTTTCAGCGATCTACCTTTTGATGCGGTGGCTCGTGTTTTCGCCTTCCTGGAGTTTGAAACGTGGATCAGGTCAATGCCCACAGAATGCTGTGGACAAACCTTGCCTCAACAGTGGCGATCATGGCTGTCAGCATGGCAGCATCTAGTCCAGCTCATGAACGAGACGGACTTCAGGACGCATAACTTCGAGTCGATTTGCTCTTACACCATCACTTTTGACGTCAGGCATCTTCATCCTCGCTTGGCAAGGTCCCTGATCGCAGTTTCAGCGTCACAAAGACGTGAGTTTTCCAGGTACCGACACTTGTTTGTTGAGATGTACATCCCAGGTCTCCAACCGACACAGGCTCGGTTCTTCCCATCTTCCCTCAGCATTTATGTCTGTGCTTGCAGACTACGTTCTTTACGCGTAAGGTTTTGGCGCTAAAAGTGCGCTTCAGATTCAGGTAGCAGCGGATTTCTGATAACGGCTGCTTTGACAAATGTTGTTCTTCTTGTGAGCATATGAGACCGCAGACCATTCTCGGGCTCGCGCACCAACCGTTCTCCAACCGATCACCGTTGGTTGACCGATTCATCATGAGTGAGCAGGTTCGATCGTCACTTCTACATGATCTTTCAGACGCGGAGAATAATTTTCAACATCGACGGGGCCCCCAACAAGCTTTCGAGGATGATCCCGCAGCAGGATCTGACGTTTCCGATACCGAACATGTTCATACAGATGACCTTCGTGAAGCTTCTCATTGTGCCACCAGTCCGGGATCAACACGACATGATCGCTCTTGTCACCCAGGACATTCTGACCAAGATGAGGCCATGTTGACAGCCAGTTCAGCAAGACCCGTTCATGCTTCGATTGACTCTTTGGACGAGTTGCTTGTACAGGTCCAAAGCCTCAGGACGAATCAAGCTCACCTTCGCAACATGGTCTTGCGGCAACAGGCGGACATAGACAGATTTCGAACCAGTTTCGAAAGGATTGTAGCTCGCTTACTCGACCTGGAACTCATGGTCAACCTTCGTCAGGCTTGAGAAAATTATGAGTGTGCCTGACTCACCTTGTGCCTTGCTTCATGGACGTATGACACAGGAGTTCTGCTTTGGTTGCATTCGCCAGACTTTGCATGCACTGTTTCATGGGTTTGACTTCTCAAGTGTACACAACATGGTTGAACTTCAGCTCTCCGAGATTCTCACTTTCGTGACTACACGCCATGTCCGGCTTTCACTTTGGGCACCGGAGGTGCCCAGTGTTCTACCATACGACCTGGAGGACATGAACGAGGAAACCTCGGATAGGACGGACACGAAGCCCTATGGAGATCGTCTTCTGTATGTAGAATGTCATCTCAAACGCTAGTTTCAAAAACCGTTCCCTGGCTGGACGACCTACAGGTTCCAACAAGCCCGACATCGGTTGATCTTGAATGGACATTCCTTCTCACTTACCAACCTCTCAAGATTGCGTGCGGTTAGTCGGACATGGCTCCGAGCTACTCTTTCGCTGACATCCGATCCAGTCAGGCCGAAAGTCAACGTGATCCAGATACAGCGCCTGATCGATGCATCACTACAGCACAGGCTTGTGTTCGTCCTTGTCAAGGACACGGAAGACATGTTGTTAGGACATTTCAGTATCTCCTTTTACCCGTTGTTTCGCTTGACTACTTTGTGTAGCCCTCTACGATGAAGTCGACCTGGTCTTCACCGAGCTTGGAGTCGAGCATGAGAAGAAAGTTGCAATGTTTCAGGATGCTTGATTACTCATGATGCTTGATTGCAGGCTTGATCATGAACCCGATATGCCAAATCCTCACCCCGCACCGGATTTCACAGGTGACACACTTGTTGTCGGATTATAGCACCTTTGGCTCAGTCGCACGCTCCTAGAGACATCATGAGTAGGCGACCGGACCCGTTCAACAGGGACGCTCTACGCTCCCTCATAGACAGGCTCTCCACAGGTGACCGGCAGACCATCCTAGCGATGTGCTCAGCCTCGGAGGTCGTCGTCTGGGAAACGTTCCGCGCAATGTTGACTCAGGTTGTCAGGGAAGACCCGGATCACTTCCTCAGAGATGCGTGCTACAGATCTTTTGGCAGTTCTCAGGACTCTACGACCACCACTACCTTCATGACTGTCACGGCGGACGACAGCAGACCATCCCTGCATGTAGGATCAAGTTCCACAATGTCATCAGGAAGTGGTACGCTTTCAGCAGGAAGTGGTACGAG